GGGCGCAGTCAGCCGGGGCCCGAGCTGTCGGGCTGCGCGTCCAGGTGTCGGGCGAGCCTGGGTTCGGGGCGCAGGGCTGAGGCCGAGGCCGCTGGAGCCGGGCGGGGAGAGGTCGGGGTCCCGAGGGGCTAGCGGAGGGGGCGAGGCGTAGTTTGAGTTGGTCTGGGGTGGGCGAGTGACCGCGGGGACGGTTAGGGCCAGACTGAAAGGCGTTGCCGAGACCCTGAGATGTGGGGGGAGGGGTCCGGCACGTCCACAGACTGTCCGGAGATGAGGAATGTGACCTGGGTCCGAACCCCTGATCAGGGTAGTTGGTTTAGTCTCATTTAATGCTGCCGAGAGACTGAAGTCCTTGTCTGGCCCACGCCAAGATTTGGCTGCTCTCTGGTTTGGGGGAAGGGAGGGTGTCCTGGATCCTTTTCTCCCAGGCTGCATTCTGAGGAGGGCCCTTTGATACTCTAGTAGGCCTAGCTCGGTGTCCTACAGGAAGGGTGGAAGACCCCAGTTTGGCGGGTGTGAGGCTCGCACTTATCACCTGGAAAGAATGTTTAGCCCAGGGTCTGAGTCGTGGGTTGAGGTTCAAGGTGGTCACCAGCAGCCATGGGAGACAGAAGGCAAGGAGGAGCTTGCTGCAAGTAGGTACTGGCTCTCCAGCCCTTGGACACTTGGCACTACCCATTTTGCCCAGATAGGCTGGCAGGAGGGACTCTGTGACAGCGGAGCAAGGCCACAGCCAGTCTAGTGCCGAAGGCACTAGATTATCACTGTTGTTGACATCAAGTAATGGAGTAATAGTGGCACGTGACACTGTTTGCCCTTCTAGTGTCATATGTCAGGGAGTTCTGTACATGGAAATTCAGGTGAGGTCAGTAGAAATAGAGCCACAGTGTGAGTGGGTCTAGGCTGGAAGTAATCCCCTGCGGAATTTTTCACCTTGGATTTGCTGGGATCTGGGATGAGGCTTCCTGTGGGGGGCTAGCTATAGAAGCTGCATGCTTACTACTGCCTCAGATCCATTATAATACCTTATTTATTTACACTGTGCTTTTATTTAGTGACCTCTTTAACCTTCCGTGGTCCTATAAGAAGACCACAGGAAGGAATGAAATAGACTCTCCCAGGGCCAGGGCGCACCACGGGAGTGGGAGGATGGTGTGGATGTTGCTGTCCAGGTTCCAGGGTCGGACAGTGTAGGAGGGGGCACTCTCCCTCTTCCAGGAATTTGAAGGCTTGCGTAGAGTATGATGATGAAGAGACTGTTAGGTGAGGGAAGATTTGTTTCTTCATTGGGTTCTGGAAAGCTTGTTGGAAAGGAAGAATTGTTAGGCATACTCAAACCAGTTTGTTTTCTTCAGCAAATGTATGGTAGAGATTGGAATTGGAGAGCGAATAAAGAACTGACCTTACACTGCCCAGAATTCTGATTCCATGTGCAGGGTTAACCCTGAGGCCTCTGTTTTAGTGTGGCACTCAGGTTAAGGAACATATTTGATGTCACCTGGCTGCTAATGGTTAGAGTCAGACTTTTTTCTGACCCAGATAGTAGGTCTGTGTGACTCCGGGGCTAAGTGTTATGTAGGGTACCCCTCTGCCTTCCAGTGGCTGCACAGGGCTCTGGCACTCATGATCCAGACATTCAGAACTCTTGTCAGACAAGTGCTTTTCATTAAAAAAAAAAAAAAGAAAATACTAGTAACAAGAGTAACCCACGTTGATCCTGGGTGCGGAGAAATAACTTAGCAACATTGCCTCTGGTTTTCCCTTCCCATTTGAGGAGGAGAGAAGAGGAACTTCCAGGCCTGTGGTCTGAAAGGTTAAATTGGCATGATGTGGGTGCTGCCAGAGCAGCCCCCTTATAACCAAGAGTTGGAAGGATGGAGACTTTGTGTCTTTTTTTTTTCAGTATTTTGTATTTTCAAAAAATATTTATGCGGGGCCGGCCCGTGGCTCACTCGGGAGAGTGTGGTGCTGATAACACCAAGGCCATGGGTTCGGATCCCATATAGGGATGGCTGGTTTGCTCACTGGCTGAGCGTGGTGCTGACAACACCAAGTCAAGGGTTAAGATCCCCTTACCGGTCATCTTTTAAAAAATATATATATATTTATGCGATACAAATATTCATATTTAATGAGGTTCTTTATCAAATATTACATTAGAGGTTTAAGACTTTATCTAGAACTTTGGCTGCAATGTCAACTTGATGTCAGCTACTGCTCAAAACGTGAGAGGTCTGCTGACCCGTACAGGACCACGGGGGAATCATCACGTTTGTGATGTCCTGACTTGAGGTTGGCTGTAAGCTGCTCGAATTTTTTTGCCATGCTACAAAGACTGCTGCTCTTAGGATTAGCTCTGAATTTTTTTTTTTTCCTTAGCTGGAAGACGTCAGGTCTTGAGTATGCCAGCCGTTGTCATGCCTGACTCATTTGACAGTGGCCTTGCATTTATGCGATATAAATATTCATATTTAATGAGGTTCTTTATCAAATATTACATTAGAGGTTTAAGACTTTATCTAGAACTTTGGCTGCAATGTCAACTTGATGTCAGCTACTGCTCAAAACGTGAGAGGTCTGCTGACCCGTACAGGACCACGGGGGAATCATCACGTTTGTGATGTCCTGACTTGAGGTTGGCTGTAAGCTGCTCGAATTTTTTTGCCATGCTACAAAGACTGCTGCTCTTAGGATTAGCTCTGAATTTTTTTTTTTTCCTTAGCTGGAAGACGTCAGGTCTTGAGTATGCCAGCCGTTGTCATGCCTGACTCATTTGACAGTGGCCTTGCATGCTCTGGCCTAGGTGGGATGGTGGAAGTGTGATTCTGCCAAATGTAACGTTAGTTTCTGTGCTCTGCAGATTGGCCCAGGACTGCATTTGTGTGGATGTCTTGCTAGAAGGAACCTTATTTCTCTTCTCTGTGTCCCTCAAAGTAAGACATGGCCTGCTTTTCCAGGGTTAATATCTCTCCCTGTACTTTGGGTCCTGATACCCCTTCCTCCTTCCTAGACCTCCTTATTCCATATCCGCTTCCACAGTGGATTGTAAACCGTCGTTTTCCTTGACTGCTCTTTAGTGAGCCCTTTGACCCCTTTATTTAAACTCGGCTCGTTTGGTTCCTGTGCCACCAGAGTCTCAGACTCTGGCCTTCCTCATGGTTGTGCTCTTGAACCTCTCCCGTCCATAGACACTTCCCCTCTCTGTGGCGACAACAGTCATCTCTCTGTGGGCAACTCTTAAATCCACTCATTTATCTAACATGTGAATTTGGTGCTGCCCGTGTGTGGGGAACTTATAGACACTGGCGATACAGCAGTTAACAAGGCATTCTCCACCTTTAGGGGGCTTTTGTTTGTAACAAGTTAGCCCAAACAAACTGGAGTTTCTGGTATGAGAAGTGCTAGGACTGAAGGAAGCAGGGGAGGGAAGAATGACGGGTGGAGCAGCGGCTGCTGGGCATGCTAGTCAGGGAGGCCTCTGAGCAGGGGACAGGCACATGCAGCTGTGTTGGGGGGTGGAGTGAGCCAGGCGAAGGTGTGCAGGGCACCTTGGACCTTGCTCCTTAGCTGTGCCTTCTTGGACACTGCAGTGGGAATCTCCATCGAGCTCCCGGCTTTCCAGCTCTTAGATTCTGTGTTTCTCCTGGGCCACCGCCCACCCCCCTCCCAGAACACACTCATAGACACATGGCCCTCCATACCCTGCCAGTGTCCCTCCAGCATCTCACTGTGCCCCCCACACCTAACTCACCATTGGTGCAGCTGACTCTGCCTCTGCCATTCCCAGCGTAACCACTGCAGCTCAGGCCCCTACCTCAACAGGACAGGTGCCATAGCAGCCCGCATCAGCTGAGAAGGTGATCGTGGAAATGGTGGGTGGGTCACAGAGTGAGCAGGCTTCGGGCATGGGCCACCAGCAGGAAGGCTGGTCTGGAGGGCACAGCTCAGGACACACCATGGGCACTGGTTGCCAAGGGAGCTGTTGCTGGCCACTTTGGACCCTGTCCCCCAGGGTACTCTCCACACCCAGCCACCACTCCACGTGTTTATTTATTTATTTATTTTTTTTAAAGATGGGCCGGCCTGGTGGCGCACTGGATAGTGCGCCGCTTGGGAAGCGCGGCAGCGCTCCCGCCCGAGGGTTCAGATCCCACATACAGACCGGTTCCCGCTCACTGGCTGAGCGAGGCGCGGGAGCAACACCGAGGGGGGCGATCCCCGTGCCGGGGCCCCGCCCGGGGCGGGGGGGAGCCCCGG